GACAACACAGAGCAGCCTCCAAAAGGCTTCGATGCCGCCACCAGACGGCGCCAAGCGAGCACGGCACCTTCCGATGAGACTCCCGAGAAGCCACAAGCACCCCTGAATTGTGAACTAAAAAAAAAACGCGCGCGCTTCGCGCACGTAAGTTCTAGCATGCTCCCGCCCTTGACAAGTTCACGGCTGCATGCATGTACGTACATACATACGGCGGCACTGGCCAGAAGGATTCCTGATACGTGAGATTCGCACCCCCGTGGCAATAATGCCTCAGGAATTACACCAGACTCACGTACCTAAAACCAGAATCCTCTTCACTTGCGCCGAAATCGTGCCACCGAGGCCACAAGCTGTCTTAAATGATGCAAGATTCGCGATCCCGAAAACAGAATCCATCGGAAATTGCACCAATTTCGTGCACTCGAAGGACAGATCCCTCCCAAAGTACGCAAGACTCGTTCTTCCGACGCCAGAATGCCTTTCAAATTGCGCCAGATTCGCGGCTCAAGCCAAAATCCCTCCTACATCATTCTGGGCTGGCGGCTGGCGCTCCCGATGCCAGAATCGCTTGCACACTACGAATGATTCGCGTTCCCGAGGCCAGAATGTCTCGAACGTTACGCTAGACTCGCGCTCCCGAAGCCTGATTCCGTCGCATGCCAAACTCGCGCTCCCGAGGCCACAGTCCCGTGCACACTACACAAGATTCGCCCTGCCGAGGCCAGAGTCCTTTGCCAGTGACGCCAGGGTCGCGCTCCTGAAAGCCAGGTTCGCGGGGGGAGCGCCCCCGAAATACAGAAAAGTGTTCAACAGCAGCCCCAAGCATGTCAATCTGTTTGTTGACGCCTCGGGGGACGGCCAAGAGGGGGGCGTCCAAGAGTGAAGGGGCCCTGGGACACACAAATAAATACACACAAATAGAAGGATTCCCCATATTTTCCCATAGTTTCTGGGTTTCTGTCTTCCCCCCCCACTTCCCATATTTTCCCATATTTTCTGGGGAATCGACGATTCATTGTGTCTGTGTATTTTTTCTCCTCCTGAAAGAGGCGGGGGCGCACAGCGTGGCCGCAGGCACATGCGCGGGCCACGGGGCGGCCGGGGACGCACTGAAATGAGAGGAGTCGCCGTGAAATCTGGAGAAGTATCATGGCCCCCGCCAGGATACTCCAGATTTCGTAATAAAAGGGAGGGGGTCTGGACCCTCCAAGACAAGCCATTTCAGACCTCCCCCGTGGGAGAACCCTCCAAAACATCGTCCCCAGACCCCCCCAGGCCCTCCAAGATAGCCTGGAAGAGACCCCCCCCGAAATGAGACCCCCCCTGCCTTTATTACAAAATCTGGAGTATCCAGCTCCTCCTATGGTCATCAACCCCCTCTTGGCCGCCCCCGAATGCCTGTCCGTCCCAACATGTGAGCGTGTTCCTGTTCGGCGTTCCGGCAGTGGGCGGAAGGGGGGGGTAGGGACGGGGTCTGACTCCAGACCTCTGCTTAGCGCAACTGTTTGGAGCCATGCGTCCTGTGGGGGAGACTCCACCCGCTCGAAACAGGCGCCCCAAAAAAGCCAAGATCTGCTCCAGGCGGGGGAGGGAAGGGGGGGTGGGCGAGGGCCCGCAAAACGACCACTTGGCCGCCCCCGAATTCCTGTCCGTCCCAACTGAGTCTCGTTGAACCGATCCCCGTCCCCAGCGGCGTGGCCTGGGTCCCACTGGCCGATTTACCCCCCCCCCTGGATGGGGATATGGGCCGTTCCCTTTGGGTTTCGAGGGGGGTATCCCCAACTGGGGTGGCAATTTGGTGGGGGTCTCGAAGGGGATGGGGATGGGGGATGGGGATCGGTCAAACGATACTGATCTGAAGTCAGGCGTTTCCCCCTACAGGGGGATTTCCGACGAAAAATAAAAGATATTCAAAACATGCTCCACAATGGCCAAGAATACTCAACAAAACAATCCCCGGACTATCTTTTGACTATTCTTGAATACGCCTCCTATTTGTTTTTGATTATTTTTGAACACTCACATAAAAACAATCCCCTGACTATTCTTTTGACTGTTTTTGACAAGAATACTCCAAAAACCAATCCCCTGACAAGCCCGACTGCATACTGATCCCAGATGCCCTCACGACGATGGGAAGAGGCGGCCAGCGGCAGAGGGCGAAGCACCTCTGCGGACCAGTGCCGGGGGCCTCTTGGACCGATGGCCTCCAGGATGGCCCCGAGTAGAGGAAAGAGAACTATGCACATACACCGACAGAAAGTGTCAGGATCGGTGCATGTGCATAGTTCTCTTCGCCCGACCGAGGGCGCCAGCGTTTACCAGCCTCGAACGTATCCCTATCCCTAAGATTGGCACGCCAAAAGGCGATGACAATCTCAGAAAAGAAGGGAATCCCTGAGATTGGCATCGTGACGAGGAGATGCCCAGCATAGGGATAGGGATATGTTCCAGGCTGGTAGCAAGTGTGGCCCCGAGAGGGCTCCGAGTGCGCCGGGAGGCCTCAGCAAGAACAAGGCGCCGAGAGTGGGCAGGAGGCTTCAGCTGTGCCATGCGTTTGGCTCCTCGGGCCCTTCTGCACTTCTCGGGAGCGGCCAAGAGGGGGGTGTCCAAGAGAGGGGGGTGCAAATCATGACCGGCGGCATGTGCGCGGCCCAGCGGGGGGCCAGGGACGCAATGAAACAAGAAGAGGCGCCATGGAATCTGGGGAAATATCATGGCCCCCGCCATGATATCCCCCCCCCCCTAGTCATCACCCCCCTCTTTTCCGCTCCTGCACTTCACATGACGCCAGGCGTGCGGAGAAGGGCCCCGGGACGGCCCGAAAGCACGCCCCCGGCACGGGCGAACGAGGCCTCAGCCCAAGCGCCAGACGCTTGGGCGTCTTCGGTGCGCGGGCCCCCGGACCTCTCGGCCCCTTCCCCAAGGTACTCCAGATTTCGAAATAAAGGAAGGGGGGTCTCATTTCGGGGGGGGTCTCTTCCAGGCTATCTTGGAGGGCCTGGGGGGGTCTGGGGGCGATGTTTTGGAAGGTTCTCCCACAGGGGGGGCCTGAAATGGCTCGTCTTGGAGGGTCCAGACCCCCTCCCTTTTATTACGAAATCTGGAGTACAATAGGGGCCTGACCACAAGAAATCTGCCGCCGGAAATCCAGCCTGGAGACCCCAGGACCTTTGTGGGCCCCGGAAACGGCAGGGCCGTTTTTTCACCGCTTCCAAAAACAATGCCCCTTGAAAATGGAAACGGCAAAAAAACGGCGACCGGAAACGTCAAAAAAACGGCTCCAGGATTGAAACCGGAGTCGGAACCGGTCAAAAAACGGCGACAGAACCGGTTACAAAAACGGCGTTGGGACCGGCAACAAAAACGGCAGAACGGAACAGACAACAAAAACGGCCCTGTCGTTTCCAGGGCCCACTGAGCCCAGGACGCCCACTGGCTTTTGGTGTGGGAGCGTCGCGGCTTCCCTCGCCAAAGCGTCGACACTCCAGAGACCCAGGGCGCCCTGGCGGCAAGCAGGGTCTCTCTTTTCTCGGGAGCGTGCTCCTTGCGTGGCGCTCGGCATCGGCAGAGTCTCGGTCGCCAGAGGCGCTCAACATGGAACGCCGTCGGCGGGGCCGTGCTTTCACAGCCGACTCCCATCGCAGAAGCATCGAAACTCCGAAAACCCGGGGGCACCCTGAAGGCAAGCAGGGTGTCTCTTTTCTCGGGAGCGGCCAAGAGGGGGGGGTCCAAGAGGGGGAGGGGTGCAAAGCATGACCGGCGGCTCGTGCGCGGCCCAGCGGGGGGGCCAGGAACGCAATGACATAAGAAGGGGCGCCATGAGATCTGGGGAATTATCATGGCCCACGCCATGAGATCCACCCCCCCTAGTCATCCCCCCCCTCTTTGCCGACCCCGACAGAAGCATCGACACTCCAGAAACCCGGGGCACCCTGGAGGCAGGCAGGGTGCCTCTTGGCATATGGGCCTCCGCCCTGGAAGAAGGGGGCCCAGGACACACAAATCAATACACACAAGGAAAAGGATCCCCCATCTATTTTCCCATAGTTTCTGGGTCTTTGTATTCCCCCCACTTCCCATAGTTTCCCTTACTTCCCTGGGAATCGACGATTCATTGTGTCTGTGAGTTTTTCCCCCTCCTGAAGGGTGCCTCTTGGCAGATGGGCCTCCCCCGGACGCCTGGACTTCTTCGGCGCGTGGGCCCCCGGACCTCTCCATATCCCTTCTCCCCGGGGCCCGGCTCTCCTTCGCTCCAAGTCGTGCCGCCTCTGCCGCGAAAGGCCCGAAGGCGGGCACCAGAGGTCCAGATGGGCTCCCCCTCCTCCTCCTGCTCCTCCTCCTGCTCCTCCTCCTCCTCCTCCTCCTCCTCCTCCTGCTCCTCCTCCTCCCCCTCCCCCTCCTCCTCCTCCTCCTCCTCCTCCTCCTCCTCCTCCTCCTCCTGCTCCTCCTCATCCTCTTCCTCCTCCTCCTCCTCCTCCTCCTCCTCCTCCTCCTCCTCCTCGAGGATCGAGGGGGGAGGGCCACGAGGGTACAAGCCCAATGAGGCCCACAATGAGTCCCCAAGGAGGCCCAACAGGGACAGTTCCGAGCACGGCATGGGGCTTCCGAAGTGGTCGCGCAGCAGAGGCAACTGTAGAGAGGTCGGCAGTCTGGGGTGAGCCGATGAGTCTTGCAAAAAGCGGTGGTTCTGATTGCCAAAGCCAGCGGAAAAGGGAGGAGGGCTGGGAGAGCGACGATGGCGGAGATGGGCTTGGGCCCGACGGACCTAAGAATACCATGAGCCTTTGCATTTACTGAAACGTCCCCAAAGAACCAAGATGGTGGTGATGGCAAAGATGACGATGCCTATAAATTGCCCGGTATATACCGCTTTCATGTCTATAGCGCTCACCTCTGTAGTGCTCACTTTGAGATTAAAGGCCGGAAGGGGCCGCACATGCAGGCACATGTACAGAAATGGGGCGGTGGAGGTAAGAGGAGGAGTAGCGGGATGGTTGTGCACCTCGTATTTTTTCAAATGATTCGTCTGTGTTCCGTGCGTGGCGTTCGGTATCGATAGAGTCTCGGTCGCCAGAGGCGCTCAACATTGAACGCTGGCGGCGGGGCTGTGCTTTCACAGCCGACTCCCCAAATCCACAGCTGCCAAAATGCTGGGGCTGCTTCGAGCAGCCGTGGAGACACGGAAACGCCGCAGGCAGTCCAGGTATTGTACGCGCGCGGCCTCACCGAGCCAAGCGCACTGCTCAGGGTGCCAAATGCACCTCTGACCTGAATGCCCACGCTCTGCAGGCATGACGGGCCGGTGGGCCACCAGCGCCGCCGTGTCGTCGATACGGCAGGCTCGTGCGGTGCAGACCTCGGCGTTGGTTCTTGGCACCGCGGAGGTCGCTCCATCTTGAACGCTCGGCCGTCTCAGAAACATCAGCTCGTTCCACATCGACCGATTCCGGGTCGCTGGCGGCGTTCACTAGGGCTCCCAACTTCGCGCTTCGCGCTGCGCGAAGCGCGAAGCGCGAATAACTTCGCGCTCTCGCGCCGCCCCCCCAAAGGGAGAAAAGGAGGACGAGGAGGAGGGGGAGGAGGAGCGAGGACCGCGAAGCGCGAAGCGCGAATAACTTCGCGCCCTCGGGGGAGCCCTTGGAAACATCAGCTCGTTCCACATCGACCGATTCCGGGTCGCTGGCGGCGTTCAGCACGGAGCGCCGGCGGCGGGGTCGCCGCAGGTCGGCACGACGCGAACCTGCCGTGTGCATTCCGAGAGGCACCCCTTCTGCTCAGAAGGCACGCCGCCCCGCGCCGCCCCCTCGTGCGCGGCGTCGAAGCGGGGCGACGGGGCCGAGGACGGCCAAGTCTCGGCCCGAATACACCAGCACGAAGGATTGCAAAAAGGACTGCAAAACATCCCCTTCGTGCAAAAAGGGTGTTTTTTTGCAATCCTTCGTGCAAAAAGGGTTTTTGTTGCAATCCTTTGCAATCCTTCTTTTTGCAATCCTTCGTTAGCGTTTGTTCGTTCCGCGCTTCGACATTGGGCGGAAAGGGGGAGGGGGGGGAGGTGGGTCTGGCTCCAGACCCCTGCTTAGCCAGACTTTTTGCAAGAGTGCTGCCTCTGGGGGAGACTCCACCCGCTCGAAGCAGGCGCCGCAAACAGCCAAAATCTACTCCCTGGGGGGGGGGGATGGGGGGCCCGCGCCGACCGGCAAAACGGTGAATAAGAAAACGACGATCGCCGAATGGGTGCACTGGCGAGACGCCATGAAACGCATCTCTGTGTACGTTCGGCGCTGCCAAAATGCCGGGGCTGCTTCGAGCAGCCGTGGAGACACGGAAACGCCGCAGGCAGTCCAGATCTTGTACGCGCGCGGCCTCACCGAGCCAAGCGCACCGCTTAGGGTGTCAAGTGCACCCCTGGCCTGGGTGCCTGCGCTCCGCAGGCAGAACCGGCCGGTGAGCTGCCGGCGCCGGCGTGTCGTCGATGCTCGGGTCCCCTGCCGAGTGCTCGAGTGCCTCCTCTGAGCTGATGGCGATACGAGCAAGGGGAGAGGGCCCGCAGAGAGGGGCGGCCCTCTCCCGCACGGTGCCCGGCCGCGGGGCATTCGGTGCAGCGCGCCTCGCGCCACCTCCTGCGCTGGGCGCCGCTGCGTCTGGGTGTTGTCCCTCGAGGCCAGGCTCGCTCAAACGGAGTCGACGCAGGGGGGACAGGATCAGTCTGCACCGAATCCAGAGCTGGGTCAAAACATCCCAAAATAGCCCCAAAACATACTAAACAGAATCGTCCCCTGACTATTGCTTGACGATGTTTGAATATATGCCTCCTGCTGAGGGACAGACCCGACGGAAATCCAGAGATCGGCCCAGGTCGAAACGTGCATCAGGTCGGGCCGCATTGGCACGGAGGCGAGATCAAGTCGGATCGGCCGCGCCAACGCCGTGCCATCATCGGGCCGAATCGGGCCGTCGGAGCATCGGAATCGAATCGGATGGGGCTGACCTACTGAAGGGACCCTGGGACACACAAATAAATACACACAAATAAAATGATGCCCCATATTTTCCCATATGTTGTGGGTTTCTGTCTTCCCCCTCACTTTCCATATTTTCCTATATTTTCTGGGGAATCGAGGATTACTTGTGTCTGTGTGTTTCTTTTCCTCCTGACCTACATCGATGTCAGATCGGATCGATCGGAGCGAAATGGGTCCGAAGGGCTCGAAAGACATCAACGAATCGCCGATGCACTGGCGGTGAATCGGCGACGCCGGGACGGAGAAAGTCGGACTATGGATCGCGCCACGTCGGCGGTGTGGTGCGATCCTCCGACCCCGTCCACTTCGACCCCGCCGGGACATACAGGCAGACTGCTCCTAGCACTCGTTCAAAATACAGTGGAGGCCATTCCACAAGAAACCTTCCACGAGAGGCCCAACCCTGAGACCCCAGGAGGTCCATGGATGTTCGGTGTGGGAGCATCACGCTTTCCATAGCAAAACCATCGAAATCCAAGAAACCCAGGGTACCCTGGAGGCAAGCAGGGTGTTTCTTGGCATGGCTCTCCACTGCAAGGAAAACCACCACCACCACCAACACGAGGATCCAGGAGAGGGTCCTCCTGGCGGTGCGGTCTCTCACGCTCCTCGCTCGAGACGTCCCCCGTCGCCGGCTCTGCGAGGCACCGTGGGCCTCCTCGCTGGAGGTGGCAGCCCCTGGTGGTGGTGGTGGTGGTGTCGCGTTCCGTTCCTCCGAACTTGTAGCGCGTGCACTAGCTCGCAAGCCACCACCAGGGGTTGCCACCTCCAGGGGTTGCCACCTCGCTCGGGGTGCGCTGGCTACCCCATGCGCGCACTAGCCCGCAAGCGTCCCACTCTCGCATGCGGGGGGCCGCTCGAGCCTCGGGCCACGGCGCCCACGCGCCCGATCGGGCTGCCGGAGCACGGGTCAAAAACGTCCGCAAAGCGCGACCAACTGCCACCAGTACTTGAACGGGAGCGCATTGCCAAAGAGTGGACCAAGAGCAATGAGAAGTGGGAAGTCTCCGCTGGTGATACCCCATAGAGCTTGTTTTCCCTTCGGCACGTAACGGTCGTTACCTGGGCCAAGCCCCCCCCCACACTGACAACGGTCGTACGTAGGGAGAGCTGGACGCCCCCCACTGGTGTTCGCGCGCAAACTGCGGTAATCGTAACACACCCCCGCCCAAACTCGGAGGCGCGCAAGCATGGATTAGCGATCCATGGATTTGGTCCGCGTTGGCCAAACCCATGGATCGGGGGCGGTGCCCCCCCTGAAATGCGGCCGGTGCCGCCTCGCTCGGCGGCGGAAATCCGCCGTTCTCCATGGAAACAAGACCCGTCGCTAATCCACACCCCCTAGATCCATGTTTGCGATCGCCTGACCAACGCGCCCAACCCCGCCCAAGCATTACCGTTACCCGCCACCGACTTCAAGAACGATCGTTATGGGAAAAACGTACAACGTGTGATTGGAACTCTTGGCCCGCAATCAGCTAGCCCTGGACCAGGAGCAGAGTCACCACACAGCGGTTGCACGTCGCGATAATAGCCTCTTAGGGGTAGAAAGCGATGTGTTAAATACATCGATATATCATAAGAGCAAGACGAGGCATACAAAGCAAGGAAATCTGCTAAACCACACACGTATACATCCTGGCGAAGGACCCAACCATACGGTTATCGTCTTCGGCGGACCACAACAAAAAGGCGAGGGGTGTACCGAAACGGGCGCAACGCCACCATGTGGACATTGCCTTTTAAAGGCAATGTCCACATGGTGGCGGTGCGCCCGAATCCAACAAAAACGGCAATGAGCAATCCGTGCGGAGCGCGAGTCCAGCGCGCGCCGCAAAAACGAAACACGAAAAAACAAAAAAGCAGCAAAAAGAGCATGAAAAAACACCATTAGTGGATCCTAGCCTCGGGGAGAGCTGACCTTTGGGGCTTCAGGTGGAGGCCCCTACGGGGCCACGCAAACGTGCGAGGGTGTGGTGCCGAACGGCCGTGGCGCCCACGTGCGCCGAACCGAGGGTGACGCCCACGTGTGGACGGTGCCTCTGGGGCCTTCGGTGGAGCTCCGAATGGGGCCACGAAACGTGCGAGGGGTGTGCCGAAGCGGGCGCGACGCCCACATGTGGACGGTGCCTCTGGGGTCTTCGGTGGAGCTCCGAATGGGGCCACGAAACGTGCGAGGGGTGTGCCGAAGCGGGCGCGACGCCCACATGTGGACGGTGCCTCTGGGGCCCTAGGTGTAGCTCCCTACGGGGCCACGAAGCGTGCGAGGGGTGTGCCGAAGCGGGCGTGACGCCCACATGTGGACGGTGCTGCTGGGCCGTAAGTGGAGCTCCCTGTGGGGCCACGAAACGTGCGAGGAGTGTGCCGAAGCGGGCGCGACGCCCACATGTGGACGGTGCCTCTGGGGCCCTAGGTCGAGTTCCCTACGGGGCCACGAAGCGTGCGAGGGGTGTGCCGAAGCGGGCGTGACGCCCACATGTGGACGGTGCTGCTGGGCCGTAAGTGGAGCTCCCTGTGGGGCCACGAAACGTGCGAGGAGTGTGCCGAAGCGAGGGTGACGCCCACATGTGGACGGTGCCTCTGGGGCCCTAGGTACGGGGCCACGAAGCGTGCGAGGGGTGTGCCGAAGCGGGCGTGACGCCCACATGTGGACGGTGCTGCTGGGCCGTAAGTGGAGCTCCCTATGGGGCCACGAAACGTGCGAGGGGTGTGCCGAAGCGGGCGCGACGCCCACATGTGGACGGTGCCTCTGGGGCCCTAGGTGTAGCTCCCTACGGGGCCACGAAGCGTGCGAGGGGTGTGCCGAAGCGGGCGTGACGCCCACATGTGGACGGTGCTGCTGGGCCGTAAGTGGAGCTCCATATGGGGCCACGAAACGTGTGAGGGGTGTGCAGAAACGGTGACACCTACATGTGAACAAAAACGGCAATGAGCAATCCGTGCGGAGCGCGAGTCCAGCGCGCGCCGCAAAAACGAAACACGAAAAAACAAAAAAGCAGCAAAAAGAGCATGAAAAAACACCATTAGTGGATCCTAGCCTCGGGGAGAGCTGACCTTTAGGGCTTCAGGTGGAGGCCCCTACGGGGCCACGCAAACGTGCGAGGGTGTGGTGCCGAACGGCCGTGGCGCCCACGTGCGCCGAACCGAGGGTAACGCCCACGTGTGGACGGTGCCTCTGGGGCCTTCGGTGGAGCTCCGAATGGGGCCACGAAGCGTGCGAGGGGTGTGCCGAAGCGGGCGTGACGCCCACCTGGGGACGGTGCTGCTGGGCCGTAAGTGGAGCTCCCTATGGGGCCACGAAACGTGCGAGGGGTGTGCCGAAACGGGCGCGACGCCCACTTGTGGACGTTGCCTCTGGGCGTTCGGTGGAGCTCCCTGAGGGGCCACGAAACGTGTGAGGGGTGCAACGAAGCGCGCGCGACGATCACGTGTGGACGGTGCCTCTGGGCCGTAGGTGGAACTCTCTATGTGGCCACGAAACGTTTGAGGGGTGTGCAGAAACGGTGACACCTACATGTGAACGGTGCCTTCGGAGCCTTAGGTGGAGATTCCTATGGGGTCACGAAAAATGCGAGGGAGGGGCCGAAAGAAGAATTACACACCCATATGCGAATGCTCCCGCTGGAGGTTTTCAGTGGAGCTCCCTGGGGGGCCACGAAACGCTTGAAGGATGTGCCGAAGGGGGCGTGACGCCCACATGCGGACGCTTCCTCTGGGGCGTTCGGTGGAGCTCCCTTGCGGAGTCACGATACGTTTGAGGGGTGTGCCGAAACGGGCGTAACGCCCACATGTGGGCGGTGCCACTGGACCGCAGGCGGAGCCCCCTATGGGGTCACGAAACGTGTGAGGGGTGTTCCGAAACGGGCGTGGCGCCCGCATGCGGACGCTCCCTTTGGGGCTTTAGGCGGAGCTCCCTATGGGGCCACGAAACGTGTGAGGGGTGTGCAGAAACGGATGTGACGTTCACGTGTGGACGGTGCCGCGGCCTTCGGTGGAGCGTCCTATGGGGCCACGAAACGTGTGAGTGGTGTGCAGAAACGGATGTGACGTTCACATGCGGACGCTGCCTCTAAGGCCTCCGGTGGAGCTTCCTATGGGGCCACGAAACATGTGAGTGGTGCGCTGGAAAGGTTATGGCGCCCACATGTGGACGTTGTCTCTGGGGCGTTCGGTGGAGCTCCCTATGGGGCCACGAACGTGTGAGCGGTGTGCCGAAATTGGCTTGGCAGGGGCAGTAATGGGAGGAGGGTGAGGAGAATGAGGGGAAACGCGGGGCGATGCGTGTTCAAAACGAATGCCCAACACCACACAACACTAGCCTGGCGAAGAACCCAACCATATGCACTTGTGAAAACCGCAATTGTGCGTAAGGTCTGAGGTGAAACTCCCTATGGAGCAACGCCCGCATGCGGACTGTGTCGCTGGGGCCTTCGGTGGAGCTCCCTGTGGAGCCACAAACCGTGCGAATGGTATGCCGAAGCGGGGGGGTCGCCCACATGCGGGATGCGCCACTGGAACCTCAGGTGGGGCCCTTTGTGGTGCCACGAAACAAATGATGGGTGTGCCGAAACGGGGGTGTCGCCCACATGCGGGCTGCGCCACTGTGGCCTTAGGTAGAGCTCCCTATGGGACCACAGAAAGTGCGAGGGTGCGCCGAAAAGGGGGTGGTGCCCGCATGCAGGCTGCGCCACTGGGGCCTTAGCTGGAACTCCTCATGGAGCCACGAAGCGTGTGAGGGGTGTTCCGAAACAGGGAGGGCGCCCACATGCAGGCTGCGGTCATGGGACCTTAGGCGGAGCTCCCTGAGGGGCCACGACACGCGTGAGGGGTTTGCTGGAACGGAAATGGCGCCCACATGCGGGCTGCGCCCAGTTGGGCCTCAAGCGGGGCTCTCCCTGTGGGGCCACGAAGCCTGTGAGAGGTGTGCCGAAGCGGGGTCACGCCCACGGGACGTCTGCGCCCGTTGGGGGGGTGCTAGGCTGAGCTCCCTATGGGGCCACGAAACGTGTGAGGGGTATGCCGAAACAGTGGTGGCGCGCATATGCGGGCGGCGCCAGAAGGAGCTTAGGCAGAGCCCCATATGGGGCCACGGTGCGTCCATGGGACCTTCGGCAGGGCTCCCTGTGGAGCCACGAAGGTGCGAAGGATGTGCAGAAACAGGGGGAGGGGGCGGCGCCCATATGCGGGCGGCGCCAGTGGGACCTCAGGCAGAGCCCCACATGTGGCCACGGAGCGTCAATGGGACCTTCGGCAGAACTTCCTTTGGGGCCACGGAGAATGCGAAGGATGTGCCGGGGTGGCGCACGCATGCGGGCGGCAACAACGGGACCTGAGGCGGAACTCCGTATGGGGCCACGGAACGTGTGAGGGGTGTACCGAAACGGGGGTGGCGCCCACATGCGGGCTGCGCCAACGGAACCTTAGGCAGAGCTCCATATGGGCCACGAAACGTCAATGGGAGCTTGGGCAGAGCTCCTTATGGGGCCACGAAGGTGCGAAGGATGTGGCGAAACCATGGTGGCGCAAACATGCGAGCTGCGCCAATGGGACCTTAGGCGCGGCGGAACCCCCTGTGGGGCCACGAAAAAATCAAAGGATGTGCCGAAACAAGGGTTGGCGCACAGATGCGGGCGGCGCCAACGGGACCTTAGGCGGAACTCCCTATGAGGCCACGAAACGTGTGAGTGGTGTGCCGAGACGGGAATGAAGACGATGATGGTGATGAAGACGGCCATGATGATGATGATGATGATGATGATGATGATGATGATGATGATGATGATGATGCTGATGCTGATGGTGTTGATGATGATGATGCTGCTGCTGATGGTGATGATTATCGTGATGGTGGTGAGATTGGTCAGGTAATGTTCATGATTATGATAATGGTGATGAGGATGCTGACGATGGTCATGATGATGATGATGGTGATCAAGATGATGATGATGATGATGATGATGAAGATAGGTAACGATGCTGATGGCGATGATGATGCTGCTGACGA